CTAATCTACAAAAGTAGCATGCCATATGTAATCATATGTAGGATGCCAAATTTTTCCAAATGACACAAGTAGGGGAGGTTTTGTTTTGCTTATTGCAAAGTATAAGTTGGCAGACGATATCCAGAATGAATGCAAGTTGCACTGGTTGACCTGCAGAGGGTGCTAACAAGTGTAACACAAAAAGTCTAGTTATTACAGAGAAAAAAAATTAATGCTTAGAGTGCAGTTTCTTTATGAAGAAAAACAACAAGGAATCTTTCCTTTTCATGGGTTAATGTCTTCATAAACATTGTCTATTTTCTCTCTCATTTGTTCTCACAAACAGATAAGAATCCTCAGCTTAATAATGCCCTGACTGTATGAGAGATTAGAGACATGAATATATTCCAAGCTCTACAAGGTCAGGAACTATGTCAGTCTTGTTCCCCATTGTACCACCCACCTCTTGACACATAGGAGATGCTCAGCCAAAAACAACTGAACAAATTCAAATGGACAAAAATCAAGATTCTAGCCCAGGCCAGCATGGTTCAGTTGGTTGAGTCATCATATGCACCAAAAGGTTGCTGGTTTGAGTCCCAGTCAGGGCACATGCCCACATTGTGGGTTCAGTCCCCAGCTGGGTTGTGTATGGGAGGCAACTGATTGATGTTTCTCTCTTTTCCTCTCTCCCTCTCTTCCACTCTCTCCAAAATCAATAAAAAATATTTTTTAAAATAGAGATTTTATCTTGGGAACAAAGATTTGGTGCTTGTGCTTTGGTAAATGGTTTGATAAAAAAAAAAAAATCCCTAGAAATGGAATGTGTAAATTATATTTTATATTTATTTATTTTTATAATTTGACTCAATTTATTCATTCAACAAATATGTATTGAGTATTTACCATTGCCAGGCATTTCTCTAAGTGCTTGAGATAAGATACTCTAACATACTCTACTAAATTGGCATTTAATAACTAGTTGATAGAAAAACAACATAAAGCAGATTAGAGGATATAGAATTGTGAGTAGTAAGTGCTATTTTAAATGGGATTGTCAGAGTGACATTTGAGAAGAGACCTGAAGTGTGGGAGTGAGTTTTACAGGTACTTGGAAGAGTCTTCCAGTCAGAAGGATAGCAAATGTCCCATGTGAGCTGGGTAAGCAAAGTGAAGTTGGAGACTAAGTAAAAGCCAGATCATGTATGGCTCTACGGGCCAGTGTTAGGTTTGGAATTTTTAATATAAGTGTCTTGGGAAGCACCAGAGAACTGAACACAAGAGAGGGAGATGATGGCCTTGACTTTGTAAAGTGGTCATTCTCACAGCTGTGTGAAGAGCAGAGGCGGAGGACTGAGCGTGGGAGCAAGGAAACCAGGTAAGAGGTTTTTACGGTGGCCAAACCAAAGCTGATGGCCTGGCTGAAGGAAAGTGGTGACAAATGAATTGTAGAAGGGGGATATTATGAAGAGTAAAGATTCTTTTTGGCCCCAATAACTGGATAAATGGTGGCACCATTTTAGAGACTGGGAAAGACCGGGGGAAGAGCAGATATGAAAAGGGGTGGAGTGGAAGAAAGACAAGGATTTAGTTTTGGACATTAAATTTGATATGCCTTTTAGACATCCACATGGAGAAACCAAGCGGATAGTTGAGTATGAGTTGTGGTCTTCAGAGGAGTTGAGGCTGGGCCTATGAACTTGGGAACAGACGGCATAAATCCAGAAGGGAAATGCCTCTTGTAACTCTGCTTTTATTTACTGCCTGCATAACCTCACACCCTGCTGGGAAGACCCATTAGGCTGAGAATCACCTTGGAATTAGGACATCACTGAGAGCCACAGTTCAGGAGCGAAGGCACAACGTGTCCTTCCTATTCTGGTGGATGGAGTAAGCAGGGTGAGGCCCCTTGTCCCCCTTGCTCAAGTTGTCCACATTTAAAATGACAGTATTCTTCACCATTTGGTTCTCTTCCAAGAACAGGGATAAGACACACATGATATTGGAAAGTGTTTCCAACACCAGGAACTCCATGGCTGGAATCAGAAGGTGGGAAGGTTTATTAGGACTTTGATAATCAAGCCCTTAGGGCAGGCTCTGCTATGTCACCCCTCCCCCCCATGGTTCTAGGTATAAGATTCAGTTAACTACTGATGCAAACTCACTGTTGAAGTCATTTCAGTTGCTAAGTGGAAGCTGACATGATGGGTTGGAAAATGGCAGATATTCTTAAGGCACCCTGCTCCAGGTATTAACCACTTCCCTAACAGGCTTTAGCAACATGTTCTTTTATGTTGTATCTTCTTAGAATGAGCCTCCCTGCCTCGCTCACCCAGAGAACTTCTGACTTTTCAAAGACCCGGTTCAAGATCTTCCTCCTCTGGAGAGTTCCTAGGCTCATCTAAGCAAGAATCTCGCCTTTACCTGTGCAGCACAGTGCTTAATGTCTCCATACCAGGACTGTCACACCACGTGGCAGCCATTTAGAAAAAGCCCACCTGCCCTATTGGATTGTGGGTCCTTTGAAAAGACAGCCAGAGTGTCATCATCTCTCTGTTCTCTGCACTTCACCCAGGACTAGTCAAGCAGCAGAAACGTAATTCATACAGAACTGAGTGAGTTAAGTGAATGAATGGGTTAGAATTAAAAAACAAAACAAAACAAAACACACACACACACACACACACACACAAACAAACACACACACAAAACCAGAACAAAGCCTATTCTTCTATGAATAATCTGGAAGCTCAGTGAACTTTGGAAAAACTAATGCTAAATTCATCTGGGAAAAAAAAAAAGAGCCTGAATAGCTACAGTAATCCAGAGGAAGAAAAATAAAGTAGATGGGAATCTCAATACCAGATATCAAGCTATATAACAAAGCCACTGTTCTCAAAACTGCCTGGTACTGGCATAAGAACACACATATAGATCAATGGAATAGACTAGAGAATCCAGATATCAACCCAAACCACTATACTCAATTAACATTTGACAAAGGAGGCATGAACATACAATGGAGTCAAGATAGTCTGTTCAATAAATGGTGTTGAGAAAATTGGACAGGTACATGCAAAAAAATGAAACTAGATCACCAACTTACTCCATACACAAAAATAAACTCAAAATGAATACAGGACTTAAACATAAGATGGGAAACCATAAAAATACTAGAGGAATCCACAGGCAGCAAAATCTCAGACATATGCCAAAAGAACTTCTTTACTGATACTACTCCAAGGGCAATGGGAGTTAAAGAGAAAATAAAGAAATGGGACTACATCAAAATAAAAAGTTTTTTCTCACAGCAAAAGAAACCATCAACAAAACAACAAGAAAGTCCACTGTATGGGAGAACATATTTGTAAATGTTATCACTGATAAAGGTTTAATATCCAATATCTATAGGCAACTCATACAATTTAATAAAAGGAAGATAAATGATCCAATAAAAAAAAATGGGCAATGGACCTAAATAGAATCTTTTCAAAAAAAGACAGAAGGAAGGTCAAGAGACATATGAAAACATGCTCAAAGTCACTAATTATCCAAGAGATGCAAATCAAAACAACAATGCGGTACCTGTCAGACATGGCTATCAACACCTGTCAGAATGGCTATCATCAACAAATCAACAAATGACAAGTGCTGGCGAGGATGTAGAGAAAAAGAAACCCTTGTGCACTGCTGGTGGGAATGCAGACTGGTGTAGCCACTGTGGAGAACAGTATGGATTTTCTTCAAAAAACTAAAAATAGAACTCCCATTTGACCCAGTAACCCCACTCCTAGAAATATATCCTAAGAAACTAGAACACCAATCAGAAAGGATATATGCACCCCTATGTTCATAGCAGCACAATTTACAATAGCTAAGATTTGGAAACAGCCTAGGTGCCCATCTGCAGATGACTGGATCAGAAAACTATAGTACATCTACACAATGGAATACTATGCTGCCATAAAAAAGAAGGAATTCTTACCATTTGCAGCAACCTGGATGAACTGGAGAGCATTATGCTAAGTGAAATCAGCCATTCAATGAAAGAAAAATACCAATGATCTCTCTCACTTGTGGATAATAAAGAACATTATAAACTCATGAACAAAAAGATAGATATAGAGATAGTAAAGCATCAAACAGACTGTCAAATTACAGCGGCAAGGTTAGGGAGAGGTGGGGGAGATAAGAGATCAACCAAAGGACTCGTATGCATGAATATAAGCATAACCAATGGATGCAAAACACTGGGGGGTGAGGGCATGTATGGGAGTGGGGTGGGGAGGGGGGCAATGGTGAGATATGTACACATATAATACCTTAATAAAAAAAATGAAAAAACAAAACAAAAACAAACACCTAATGGTGACTCAGCTCAAGTCAACAAGGTGCATTCTGGGGGTTGATGACATCACGCTGGTTACAAAGTGAATTATTCTGAACCAGTGTTGCGCTATTGGGAACTCTATTTGCCTGAATGATCAATCATTTCTCTCTCTCTCTCTTATTAGGGAATTTCCTCCAAAGTTTATACTTGAGTTTCTGTGGGCTTTCCAGGGGGGCCTGGATGTAACCAGAGAGACGAGGCTTAGCCTTAGCCAGTCCTACAGTGGCTCTGTCCAGCGGATCGCTGGAGGGTGCAGAGTCCCACTTCTACGGCAGTTAGTACAGTGGGATGGCTTGAATGTGTCCAGCATGTATCTGAATGACCCCTGGGTCTGCACCTCACACACTGGGTACAGGGACGACACAGCCCTGCTGACCCTGAGTGATCTTACCTGGTGAGCTGACAGCACACAGCCCAATGTGTTTCCTGCAACAGACTGACAGCTGGCTGGCCAAACCTGAGGAATGTCCAGGGCCCCAAACCACATTATTTGCTTGAGTCATGTTCGTACCGGGGCCCTTCGGTTTGACCCCTCGCATGGGAGGCACTGCATGTCACCTCGGTGGTCACAGGACACACGGTCAGGGTGGTGGAGTTTTCCACCCGGATCTAGGAAGGACCTGGGACCCACCTGGATGAGATGAGCCGCGCTCTCGGGGCTGCCGTATCGGAGGTCATGTCCATTGATGGCTAGCACGCGGTCGTTCTCCTCCAGCTGGCCGTCTCGGTCCGCCACCCCGCCGTCCAACACGTTGAAAATGAACACGCCGGGCTCGTCCACCCTGCGCACCAGTTTTATGCCGAGCTGCTCCTCGGGGCTGCTCTTGTGGAGAACCACGTGGAAGCTGTCGTCGCGGGGCCCGTGGCTGTCCGGCGCCGGCCCGCTGCTCCTGCTCCGGAACTTCTGCTCCCGCAGCACCGTGAGCCACAGCGCCCGGCAGGGCTGCCGCAGCAGGCGCACGGCGTAGCTGTGGCGGACGTTGCTGATGTCCATCCCGTTGACCTGCGGGAGGGGTCCCAGCTGTCAGTTCCATCGGTGACGCCCCTTCCCAAGATGCCCAGGCCCATAGAATCACCGGGGCAGGTCCCCAGAGCTGCTCTGCTCTGCCCAATATCCCCGGCTTCCCACATTCATCCCACAGGACTCCACGTGACTGGCTGTGAGGTCCCCTGTTCCACCGTCTCAGGTCTCAGTGGAGACCATCTTTCTGCGACCTGCCCCTGACACAAGCCCCCACATTTATTTATGCAATCCAAACTCATTTTTTTTTGGGGGGGGGGAAGGGAGGGGAGGAATCAAAGTAGGAAAAGGCAAATGAGAATAGAAAACATTCCAAGGATAATAGTAAACTGCTGCTCAATTCAAACCGAGGTGACATCCCCCCCCCCCAAAGCCCCCAAATGAGTTTTTCTCCCTGGGTCACCCATACTGAATGTCAGTCCCCACTACGTGTGTGTGTGTGTGTGTGTGTGTGTGTGTGTGTGTGTGTGTGAGAGAGAGAGAGAGAGAGAGAGAGGGAGAGGGAGAGAGAAGGGAGAGAGGTCTGTAAGGTCTTTTGCCCATGTTCTCAACAAAAGAGAAAAAAAAATTTCTGCAGTTTCAAACAAACTGATGTGAATAGAAGTCTCTAGGCTCTTTTATGGAAAGGCTGGGTCACTTTATGATGCTACTTAAAGATCCTGAAGCTCAGCTCTTGGGTTGGTGCCTCTTTAAAGACCTGCCTCCGGATGCCTGGTGGCGCTGTCTGGGTTTGATTATCCTGCCGAGCAGGGGCAGGCGTGGCCCCAGTGTTAGGCGCTGCTCTGGAGGAGAAGGCTCACACCGCGCTCTGTGCTTAAGGAGCCCCCCCCCCCCCCGAAGAGAAACAATCTTCTTGAATTTCTATGGTTTGGTAAGAAATCGTGGGCTCGCAGCCAGCGGCTGGAGGAGCTTCGCAGTGAGGCTGTAAAAGCCCTTCCTGCAGCGTCCCGTCACCAGTTTTCTGCTGTCTCTGGGGTGGAGGGGGGCTCTCTCCCGCACAGACAAGGCCCACCATCTCTGTCCGAGCCCAGGTGAGCTTCAAGACAGCTCTGCGTGGCTGCCTTCTCCTGCGCCTGGTTTCCCCCATCACGTCCAGGCCAAGAGAAGGTCAGGGTCGCCTGCTACACAGCCCTGGCAGCTCTTTTGCCTGCAAGTGCCAGTTGAAGGCCTTAAGAATCACAATGTTTTATTACGCAACCCTCCCAGGCAGCATCGTTTCCACCAGCACTGGGAGGACGCCATGCGGAGTATCGCAGATTGCATACGCTGACTGTCCCTTGGGGTTGATGGGCCTGCCTTGTACTCCACCCTCGAAAGCCGATCGGAATTTCAGCTTTTTCTATGATAAGTGCTTTCAATTTTCTCCTGTTCCAAGGAATAAGAACTCCTGGCCAAAGAAGCTGTTCACGATGTGTCAGGAGCTGGCCCCTCGGCAGCCTAGAAGGGGTGGGATGAAACCGTCATCTGAGTATCAGACAGGAAATATATGACCAGGGAGAAATTCCTTGTCCCTTTTGGCACATGCTTGACTTCTGCCTGACAAACAACTCTTCCTTGATCCTTTCTCTTCTTCTGAAAGCGACTCTCTGACGTCATTCCCCTCAACCAAGCCTCACAGGATGGTAATGCCCAGAGCTTTCTGTTTCCCACCTGTTTCCCTGGAATGTCTGTGGGTTGGCAGGAGTAATTTAGGATGACATTTTTTTTTTTTTCATGGAGGGCCATTAAGCAACAGGAAATTTAGAGTCGTGTGTGAGTGCAAGTGATTAGATAAAGTGTCCCATTAGACTACTTTAAAAATAACTTCAGAAGACATATGCTCCAGTTTTGTATTATTTTATATTATATTACATAAAGTAGGAAGAAGGAGAGAAAGGAAGAGAAGAAGGAAGAGAGGAAGGGAAGAAGCTAGAGGGTAAAGAAAGAAGAAGGGGGAGCTAGACAAAATGACAGAAATATTTATATAAAGAGAGGAAGGAGAATGAAAGAATGAGAAAGAGAGAAACAAAGACCTATCTCAATTAAATTGTAAATCTCATATTAAGAACATATCAACATAGTAACTATGAAAAGTAATTGCTCCATATTTATTTTAAGATTACACATCCATCCATCCACCCAGTTAATTGCTCTGAGGTAGTTTTTATTAAGCTCCTTTTCATGGCCTCGCAGCCACGGTCTCTACCTTTAGTATGATGTCTCCTGGCAGTAGCCGGCCGTCTCTGGCAATCACCCCGTCACGATAGATGTGCTGGATAATGATATGGACCAGGGGGGTTTCACTGCCTCCCACAAGCCTCATGGAGAGGCTTTCACTGGGATCCACTCGATTAATCTTGATGCTGGTAATTTCACCGTCTGGAATCAGGTGATACAACCTTGGAAAGACTAAAATGGACAAAGACAGTGTTTACTTTAAGACGCCCACCCAAAGACATTTCCAACCACTCTTCCTCTTGCCAAACTTTGGTTTCAGCCAAACTAAACTATGCATACATGTTTTCCATTTTCCTCCCTGCGTGCCAGCATAAGTTTCTTTGCCTGGAATGTTTTTTTTTTTTTTTTTTTTTTTTATTCTAGGCCTGAACCCAAGTCTTCCTTCAAGGCCTGCATAAAATGATCCTTTCCAATTAAAGTCTACCCTCATTCCCCATCCCCTGTTCTCTCTAAACATCCCATTTCACACAAAACTCTCTTCATTTCTCATAGCATTCAACCTTCTGTTATTTTTCATGCCCATTTCTTTTTTTAAAAATATTTTATTGATTTTTTTTAGAGAGACGGAAAAGGAGAGGGGGGGAGAGAGAAATGATGAGAGAGAAACATCGATTGGCTGCCTTCTGCATGCTCCCTACTGGGGACTGAGCCCACAACCTGGGCATGTACTCTGACATGGAATCAAACCAGTGGCCTCTTGGTTCATGGGTTGACGCTCAACCACTGAGCCACACTGGCCTGGCTCATGCCAATTTCTTATATCTCCCACTGAACTCTAAGATACTTGAGCACAATTTCTGGTTCCTCCGGAGTTCTGTGCACAGATCTCTGCACACAGAGACTGCAGCCAATGTTTGGGTGAACAGAAATGAATGAATGAATGAATGAATGAATGACCCGCCCTATGGAGTGGACTGCCGTTTCCTCACTTATCAAGGAACAAAACAGAGCAAATCTGCTCTTACACTCTCTCAGATCATTTTGAAGATTTCTTCCAGAAAGTCCCCACTTTTCAGGCTTAGGGGTTCACCGGTCCTCCCAACCAGACACGTTTGTCAACAAAGCAAGGCCAACAGCCAGATTCACGATTAAGAAAAGAGCCCCGGCCTCAGGTGGTGGCTTTAAGAGGGTTGGCCACCGACCTGCCGCAATCATAATTCAGAGCTGGGAGGCTCAGAGATCATCAGGGCTGGTTGTTTGCAAACTTGATATTTGAACCGAGGACTCTCCTTTCCCGTGAAATACGTCCTGTGCCCACCCCGCCCCACTGTGCCCACACACAGATCTGCTCTAGTTCCTGTGCAGCTAGATAGCAAGTCAAGCCTTTATTTTTCCAGTGAGGACATTTGAGCTCAGAGGGGGGAAATGATGTGACTGGCTAGAGGTCATGACACTTACTTAGGTGGCCCTCAGAGCCAGGCCAGAATCCAGGGCTCCTGAGGACCACCCTTCCCATCACCTGCCTCAGGTGTCCCTGGAGTCAGGGGTCCCCAGCCAGGTGACAGTCCTACGGGGGGCTTTCCCTATAGATCTGTAAGCCAGCAGCGCCACTGGCACGGCTCTCCACCTGGGTTGGGATAGAAGTGTGCAGAGGGGATGCTGAAAGTGCCAGCCAGGTTACACCGAGTGGGTGGAGGAAGGACTTCTGTCGAGTTGCTTGAGGCCTGAGCTTGGATGAGGAGGGCAGAGATGCTTCTGTCTCCTGTAGCTGCTGACAGCTGCCTCTGCCCCAAATTCTCCCTTAATTAAGTCATCTGGGAAGATCAAGACCGCACGCCTAGTTCCGCAAAGTACACTCTTTGTGACTATTATCAAATCCCACGGCTCTAGTCCATGTTCCCTAATTAACTCTGAGTTCACTAATGAGCCCTCCACTCTCTAGGAACAATACGGAAGAATTCAAGTTATTTCTAAGTATTGTAGAACATGAGAAACAAAGCAATTTAGCTGCAGAGAGAGCCAGAGACATTGTAAATGCGGGTCCTTAACCTCCACGGGGATTTAATTTCCAGTGAGTGATTGGCTTCGCTGTGAGACTGTGGGCAGCCGTCTTAATCTGCCAGTTCCTGGTGCTAACAGCACCGGGGTGACCGAGTTCAATTAATGTTTAAGCTACTCCAGTTACATGAAGTAGATACACCACAAGCATTTGTTGGAACAGGTTTGGTGACAAGGGAGTGGAAATTTAAAAAAAAAATTATTTTGAGCAAAGATTTCAAAAGAGTCAAAGCTGCCAACTTTTTCCTCTCCTCCCCCGCTCCCAGCAGATTTACAAAAACCATGCATCCAAACCTAGTTGTGATTTGATAACCCAATCACACTTGTAAATGATGCTAATTAGAGCCACCCCAGTGAATTTAAAGAGTTAAAGTTTTAAACTGCCGAACTCATGTTGGTCTAGGACCATGGTCGGCAAACCGCGGCTCTCGAGCCACATGCGGCTCTTTAGCCCCTTGAGTGTGGCTCTTCCACAAAATACCACATGTGGGTGCGCATATACAGGGCGAGCCCGAAAACAGAAGTCTGTTTTCGGCTCTCCAAAGAAATTTCAATTGTTGTACTATTGATATTTGGCTCTGTTGACTAATGAGTTTGCCAATCACTGGTCAAGGACAAAACAAACTTGTTAAATATTCTGTCTTCCCTCATGAACTAAGGAAGGTAATGTTATTTACTAAGAGTTTAATATAGGCTCAGCATTGAGCTAAGTGATTGGCAAGCAATTTTATTTTTTTTAAATTTTTTTTTGTCCTAACAATCCTATGAAATAGACAATTATCATCCCTGCTTTTTTAGATGGTGAAACACTGAAACTTAGAGAAGTTAAGTAACCTGGCCAGGGTCATGCAGCCAATAAGTAGTAGAGACAGTCTCTTTCCGGATATAAAGGTATGGCTAACCCACACCACGAGAGTTCACCAGTATCACTACCAGCCCACCCGGGTTCTCATACCTCACCTATTCCAGAGCAATAGCTTCCCGGAGCATCTCAGGAAGCCCGTTCTCTCCCACTCTAGGTCCCCTGACACAGAACTTGGCTGCCACCCTCAGCTTTCTGAAACATGGCTCCAATCCTACAACAATCCCACCCACGTTTTCAGGTGGATAAAAGTCCAGGCTCCGAATGGCATCCAGAACCCTCTCTGATCTGACCTAAGCAATCTCCCACTACTTTCCAACACAGTCAAGATCCCAATGCTCACCCAGACCCGGAACCACTCCTCAAACAGGGACAACACTGCCCTGCTCAGAACTGATGCTGCCCTCTCTGTGGCAGCCATTGTCATTCATGTGCACCTCACTCTACGGCATTCTATTTTCTTTTAGTCTTGAACAAACCTCTTGAAGCCAGGAACTGGATTTTATATGCTTCATAAAAAATTACAGAGCCTCGGCTAGTGCCTTAGACATAGAAACCTCTTATTAAAAACGTTTCTGCAATATATATGCAAACAGATCTTATTCATGCAGGAGAAAACTTTATATAGAGTGTCATTAAGGAGCCTTTAATAAGAAAGGAAGACTGGCAGAAAGGAAGTTCTAATCATGTCATGTATTCGTTGCACACACACTCAGCGAACACCATCATGCACCAGACCCTGTGTTTGGCTTTGAGAGTACAAAAGCTCAGAAGAAGAACCCTTGCCCTTATAGGTACAGTTATAAGGAAAGATGGTCGTTGCCATAGTAGAGATCCAGGTGCTTTAAGAATGCAAACGAAGGGGGACTGAGGAAATCTGAGGGGGCTTCAAGGAGGAGGCAAAGCCGATGCTGGAAGGAGGCATTAGAATATCAGATGAAGGAGAGTGGATGTGCAGGCTGGACAACAGCATGGAAGTGAGCAAAAGAGTATTTACAGGACTGGGATAGTAAATTTGGGATAGTTAATGCAAGCAGTGTGTGTGTGTGTGTGAGCATGTGCATGCATGTGTATATGAGTGAGCATGTGCGTACAGGGTGAGAGGTGATAAGTGAGCAAGAAGGGGTGTTATAACACTGCTTACTAAGTCTCTCAAGGAAGTGGTTTGGGCTCTACCAACCAATCCCCCAGAGAGAAGGGTACTTAACCAGTAGTTAAGAGAGTGGGTTCTGGAGCCGGAGACCTGGTTTAAAATCCTAAGTGCGCCATATTCTAGCTGGGTGACTTTGAGCTAGTGACTTAGTCTCTCCGGGCCTTTTTCCTCACCTGTAATATGAGTGTGATAATCCCTTCGTGTTGTGATATCTAAATGCCTTAGAACACTACCTAGCACACAGAAAAAGCTCATTTTTTAAGCTAATATTATTACTACCTTACAGTTCTAATATAAAATGAAGGAAACAGGACAGTATTTCCTCAGCTCCATTTGTTTGAGAAAACACATAGGATCTAAGATCCAATAACAACTTTGCGTGGATTCTAGAGCCACCTTACCGGCGTTCAACATTTAGTAAGGTGCTTTGGGCAAGCTAAGGAACCTCCCTATGCCTCAGTTTCCTCATCTGTCAAATAGCTACTTTCTAGGGTTGTTGTGTGGATTACATGAGCAAATGCATGGAAAACACTCAGAACCATGTTATCATACCCAGTTGTAATAAAGAACCACCAGTAGTTACACAGCATTTCCCAGGCACTGTTCTCCCTGCTTTTCACTTATCAACTATGATTATTCTTTGTACGTGCTAAGCTAGTACTTGAAGGTAAGGGTTCTCACCACGTTCCCCTCAGCCTATGGAAAAAGACAACTATGATTTTTGCTTGCAATGACTTATGTGAAAACCAGGCTAATTGGGATAAGACATATTTTATTCCCTTGGGGAGAGAGTTGTCACAGACAGTGAGTGGCGGTCAGGCTGTCATCACCCAGACATCATTCTGGAAGGCCAGCCCAGTCCCGGCCTGCGGGGAGTCCATTTACCTTCAGGGGGAGTGGTGCTTTCAGAGTTTTCTCCGCCCTCGTCAGCTTGATTGGCAACCACGCTTCCACTCTTTGTCCTTCGCAGAACACTCAAAGCTCGGTTTATTTTTTTAAACGATCTGCTTCTGATGGAGGACCGCTCGAAGGGCCGTGCTGAGGGAAGGAGAGGGGGAACAGTGGGCACACAGTCACAGACACCCTCCCTGAGGCACATCTGGTAAGGCGTGCGTGGGAAAGCCGCTGCTAAGTGGCAGGGCAATAGAATTCACTTAGAAATGTTTCCTAAGCTTTTCTACAAGGAAATTGCATGGCTTGTTTTAAATCAGCTCTTCTCTTTTTTCCTGGATTAGACTGAACAGACCAGCACCATTCTTTCTTCCTTCCTTTCTTTTTATTCTTTTCTTTTCTTTTTTTTAAAATATATTTTATTGATTTTCTTACAGAGAGGAAGGGAGAAAGAGAGCTAGAAACATCAATGAGAGAGAAACATCAACCAGCTGCCTCTTGCACACCCCTACCAGGGATGTGCCCGCAACCAAGGTACATGCTCTTGGCCGGAATCAAACCTGGGACCCTACAGTCTGCAGACCGACGCTCTACCGCCGAGCCAAACCGGTTTTGGCAGACCAGCACCTTTCTTGAGCAGCATGGATGGGCTGATGAATCATTAGGCCTGGCTTTAACCCCTTTCACCAATTCAAGATTACACACTTTTTTAAAGATTGATTTTTTTCATTTTTTTTTATTGTTTGAAGGATTACAAATAGTAGTACATATGTTTCCCTTTTTCCCCCTTGATCTCCCCTCAGCCTTCCCTACCCCCCCTGCATATGCCTTCACCTGCCCCTACTGCCCCCCCCCCTCTCCTGCCAGGTCTTGTATCCATTGGTTATGTTTATATGCATGCATATAAGTCCTTCGGTTGATCTCTTACAGCCCGCCCTGCCCCAACCTCCAGTGCCTTCTCGCTATAGTTTGACAGTCTGTTCAATTTTTTTTTTTAATCTCTTTAACTATTTTTCCCCCATTTCTTTTCTTTGAAAAATTTTGCAACTGCAGACTAGAAATAAACATATAATAACAAAAACGCCTGAGTCCCAATTTCAGTGTCCAACAGTTCTAAAACCCAGTTTCAATGTCAAATAGTTCCTCATGTGTACGTGCTAGCAATGATATCTGGATGATGGACAGATGGTGGTAATGCAGGTCCAACCCTCTCTGGTTTGGTCCTGGGCAACCTGCAGCAACGCACAGCTGCTGACATTGATTTTTTTTTTTTTACAGAGATAGTTAGAAAAATTGATGAGAGAGAAACACCAATCAGCTGCCTCCTGCACACATCCCACTGGGGATATGCCCGCAACCAAGATACATGCCCTTGACCAGAATCAAACCTGGGACCCTTCAGTCCACAGGCCAACACTCTATCCACTGAGCCAAACCATCCAGGGCCAGATTACACACATTTTTCATGATCTGAGGGACTTGTGGTTCTATTTCACTTTGGAGAATTGGACACTGCATTGCTACCAGAATAATTTCTCTTTAAAAAAAATTTTTTTTGGGGGGGATAGGGGGAAATGATAAGATATGTACACAGATAATAATTTAATAAAAAAATAAAATAAAAAAATTTTTCCGAGAACTTTCTACTGTGACTATTCCACGGAGGGCCACCCCAAGGCAAGGAGCCCATCCCCGGATAACCACCCATTTGACTCACCCCTCGTTCGGTTGCTCCGGCCAAAGTCTGATGGGCTGCCTGCTGGCGGCCCATCCTCTGCCGCGGACACGTAGGCAGGGTTGTCCAGGCCAGGCTCGTCTGTCATTAAGGCGATGGTGGCAGCTGCCGAAACCTCCGGGAAGAGTGTCGTGGCCTCGAGGCTCGCACAGCCGTCCGCACAGCCATCCTGGGAGCGCCTCTTCCTGTCCTTGGTCAGGCCATAGTGGGAGGCGCCTTTGCAGCTGCAAGAAAACCAGGAGAAGTGGCTCCGGCTTTGCTCCTTACCCACCAGCCTCTACTGGAGAGTGAGTAGCAAGCCTGATTTGCTCACCCCTAGATCTGTGTCCCTTTTCACACTCAGCATACCCTTGCCAACAAAATGAACTGATAACTTGAGATACATTTTGAAAGATGCTCCTTCCATGCTCCTAAAGCAATCTCTATACTGGCCTCTGGAATGCACATGTATGAAAGCTGTCAGGGTGTCTTTGAGACTAGGGCTTGAGGCTGGTGATCTTCAGCTATCTGGATGGTATAATAATTCCCTCTTGCTGGTGTTTATTTTGACAGCCAAAGTGCTTAGTCACATTCTCAGTCCTGTCTTTTGGGTTTAGCTACCAGAGCTCTGAACATAAATACCAAGTTCCTCCCAGATTCCATATTTAACTGCCCATGGCAACAGAGTCGCCCCCACCACAAGGCCACAGGAATTCACTCCGCACTGCTATTCTTGAGAGGCGGGCTTGCTAGCTTCCCTTCTCTACGTCTGGGCTAGTCTCAGGGAGGCTCCCAGGCACTGAAACATTTCATTCATTGTCATGTCTTCTAATATTGGGAGAGAAAAACAACATCCATAATCTTAAAAAAAAAAAAAAAAAAAAAAAAGGACATAAAACGTAATTGTCTATACCCATTTACCATCCATGTTAAACAGCCGGCCCACGGGCTAGGGCCGTAGTTGGCAAACTGCGGCTTGCGAGCCACATGTGGCTCTTTGGCCCCTTGAGTGTGGCTCTTCCACAAAATACCACAGCCTGGGCGAGTCTATTTTGAAGAAGTGGTGTGAGAAGAAGTTTAAGTTTAAAACATTTGGCTCTCAAAAGAAATTTTAATCGTTGTGCTGTTGATATTTGGCTCTGTTGACTAATGAGTTTGCCGACCACTGGGCTAGGAGACCAGGGTTTGAGTTGACCTAGGCCCGTATTTTGCTATGAATGTACTTCTGTGTGCCACTGGGCAACAGCTCTCAGGTAGGGTCTTGGTCAGAAAATGGTGATGACTGAACTATCTCATTGCACAGTGGTGAGGAAGTAACCACAGACAGCCACATCAGCTTCCACAGCTGTTGTGAGGGCAGAAATTATATCTGGGAGCCCTTTTAAGAAGTGGCCATTTGCATATAATGGACGTGCTAATTAGCATTTTTAAAAAAATCAACTCATTACACAAAACCTTATATGGCTGAGCCATTTTACACACTTAATCTTAGCCCAAAGAACAAGAAGCGATGAGCTATTTTAAATAACCCAGTTGGAGAGCCTACTTGGAATGATGCTTTATGTAAGATGCTTGAAAGTAAACAGAACCAAATGGCAGTCTACAGTCAACATGCAGACAGGATTCATAGGAATTCTGTTTGAGCGGGTGAGGAGCAGGGCCTATCGTCCCCGCCAGAATTCTTGCTTTCAAGTTTACCAAGCTGTGTGATCTGGGGCAATTTCGTTAACCTTGTTAAACTTTCTGATCTGCACCTACACCGTGGGTGGCTGTGAGGTCTGGCTGACATTAAGTCTTGCTGAGAGTTTAGAACCTGACCGGATAGATAGATGGTTTTTCAGTAGACTGGAGCTGCTTGCACAATCTATCCATGCTAAGGTGCTCCTTTTTTCACACTCTCACACCTCTGAGGATCTCACATCTCTGAGGATGGCTCACACAGCTTCTGTTGCAAGCCGAAGCCATGCTGCAATGCCACTGCCCCAGCATGGCAACCATGGCACAGCTGTCCCTCTTGTCACCCCTACTGAGTCACATCCACTCTCGGAACCACAACATTGAGTTTAATTGCCATTAAATGTCTTAGAAGGAGTTACATTATGATTCAGGATTGAAATGAAAAGCTACTGTATATTTAGAAAGTCTCAAAAAACAGCAGTGGCATGCACATTTGGTATCGGTAAAGCAAATATTCCTGGTTAGAAGGAGGGCAGAAATTCTGCATTTTCTTGCCAGGAGACAAGCGAACGCTTTATTTGCTTAGAAAGATACCCCCCCAAGGAGATGAAAAGTAGGGCTACATTTTGTTACTGAGATCATGCAAAAGGATTGGCCTGTTTTTATGCCAAACAACACAACTAGAGGGCAGGAGAAGTCACCAATTCATCTCCATGGATTTCAAAGCCCCAAGAGTCTGATGTGACCAATCCACACATCACAGGGATATCTTTGAAGGTGTTTTGAGATAATGCAACCAGTGGCAGATTTTTACATTTTCTTTTCTTGTTGATATATGAAATATAATGTTTCTTGTAATCAGTGGCATCTTAGATCGGAGGAATGTGGTTTTGCTATTGGTAGAAAGGGACTTGGATTATATAACCCTTCACCCTTATCTTATCGAAGTAAAAACAGGCCTCCAGCTTCCAATGCTCATCTTTCTGAAAGCATTCAAGCTCCCTGTTTGAATTGATGAGGTTTTACTCTTCTGATGAGCTATTCTGGCTTGGAACTGTTCTGCTTAAAAATAGCAAAGCGGCTGATATGGGAAACTGAAAAATTGGAAGAAACACTGTGTGATGGAAAAAATAAAAGGCAGCGTGCATTTGAGCAACTCCAAAGTCATAAACGCACGAGTGGGACACTTCCAATTAAGCCAGCAGTGTTTGGTTAGCAATGCATGGGAAGGAAGTTTCTAGACTATTTAGTTGGACTGGGAAGAGTCTCTTTTCTTGGGCAGCAATGCCCTTGCCCTTAGCCATGTGCCCTGCCAGAGCAGGAAATGAATTTTCCTGTTGGACAAATGGCTGGCAAAGGGACCAGCCATGGCTTTCGGGGGTGGAGGTGGGAGGGAGGCATAGCACAACCCAATGGAAAAACGGTGGCATCCTATTCTGCTGCCTCATTTGTGTGGAGGTTAAAGATTTTTAAAAGTAGCCAAAACCGGTTTGGCTCAATGGATAGAGCGTTGGCCTGAGGACTGAAAGGTTCCAGGTTTGATTCTGGTCAAGGGCATGTACCTTGGTTGTGGGCACATCTCCAGTGGGGGGTGTGCAGGAGGCAGGTGATCGATGTTTCTCTCCCATCGATGTTTCTCTCTCTCTGTCCCTCCCCCTTCTTCTCTGTAAAAAATCAATTAAAAATATATAAATATATATATAAACCTATATATATAAATATTAATATATAAATACTTTATATATATAAAGTATTCCAAGGCCATAGCATTAAGAAACCATTGCTGTTTCACACCCTTGGAGTTCCAAAGACACATTTGAGTCCAGAAAAGGAAAACTTCATAACATGGGTAAGTAAGCTTTCCCCGTGGCCTCATATCATAGCTATCCTTACGATGGCTGGAGAGGTACAGAATCTAGACTTAATTTCTAGCTCATTCTGGCTCATAAGCCTTGATAAAACGTTTCTGCTAAAGCAACTCATACTTGTGCAGTGTTGCCTACTCCAGTTCCTTGGCTTAGCTGGAATCTGAGGCACAGAGTGATCTATGAAGATAGCAGCTTGTACTTAGTAATTATCTCTTTTGTGTTGACTAATACTGGGGCCGCTTGATTTACAAGCACAAAAGAGGGGAGGACAGAGGAAGAGCTGATTAGCATTGGCCAGTACAGGAACATACGGTGAACCCTGGGCTGTGTTCAAAGCAAGCAGGATTTATTCTCCCTTTAATTTATCCTGAGCACTAAGTACTCTCAGGTGGTGATGGGCGATGGCCATGAACTTGAAGGATGAACATAAGGAACATGGAAAACCATTTTTCAAACAAACCATGCACTTCTGATATGCTCTCTGTTCAGCACATCAACTCTGAAAGTCATTTATTTTTTATTTTATTTTTTTTGCTGTTGTTAATAATGTAGTTGGGATCAAAGTGAGCTGGATGCAAGTTAGTCTTACTACAATATTGCTGACGCTGGTGTACTGTGGAATATTGTCCTATTTGAAAGGATGGGGAGCAAGAAGAGAAAAATGAAGCCCCTTCTTGTAAAAATTCCTGAGCCCATGGTTTCAAGCAGGATGGACCCAGGCATAATTCACAGAGGCTCTGATGGGGTGTCCTCCACTGAGTACAGCACACCGGGCAACACAAGCTGGCTTGTAAGGGAGGGCTAGCTTCTGAGGGTGAGCTATCCATTATGACAAAATAATAAAAGCTGTCCACAAGAAAGCGAGTCTCAATACTCTCATCACAACAGTCTGGGTAACTCTACAATCTCCCTTTGATCTAACTTTCCTTACATTCTTTCTCTCTGGGTTCACTTCTGAATTAGGTAAACATTGGGGCTGCTCTTCATGTTGAATTCATTAATTGCCCGGTCTTGTCCTTCTTGAAGCGAGGCTTGCAAACTCATATGTTAGTCAGGTGAGGAAATGAGGGAGGTTGGGCTGGGAGGGGAAGACCATGGTGACCAGTGTTTCAAAAAATGCAGCAGCCTATACAGCCTAAAGACTTTGCTGAGCATTGCCTCAAGAAGACCAGCTCAAGAGCAATTAAGCAAAAAAGAAAAAAAAAGACATCTAAATTAGAAAGCAAGAAGTAGAACTGTCATGATTTATAGGTGACATAATATTATATATAGAAAACCCTAAAGACTCCACCAAAAAAAAAAAAAAAAAAAAAAAAACTGGTAGAACTAACAAATTCAGTTAGAATTTGGAGGATACCAAGTCAATAGGTTGCATTTCTATATACTAATATTTATCTGTCAGAAAAAGAGTATAGAAAAGGGAACCCTTGTACACTATTGGTAGGAAAGTAAAATGGTGAAGCCATTATGGAAAGCAGTATGGAGGTGCCTCAAAAAATTAAAAATAGAACTACCATAGGATCCAGCAATTCCACTTTTGGGTATTTATCCAAGGACATAGAAAATACTAATTTGAAAGACATCTACACTCCCATTGTAGCCCTACTATAGTAGCTAAAATATGAGAGCAATCTAAGTGTCCATCAATAGATGAATGGATAAAGGAAAGGTGACATATATATACTAGAGGCCCAGTGCAT